TCTACCCAGGATCTCCGGCTTATGTGATGTTGCTTTAATTCTCTGTATTACAGATTTGTTTCACCATGTAAAAGGGCAGTAATGATAACATAAACTTTTTGTGATGATAGAATGTCTTAATACATAAAATGATTTAGGAGGGAAAGTACTCCATGATTTTTAAATGTTGTGGTTGATGTATACTTCCCTTATAAAAGTTAAGAGAGAGATGACTCTCTGAGAGGAAAGGGGTCTAGATTTGGAAGCAGGAGACGTGGGTTTGAAGACCGGGTCTGCTGGTGCGGGCACGCCTGTCCCATGGTTTTCTCGCTCGTGACTCGGCCAGCTTCCATCCCATGGCCTTGAATGCTTTCAGAGATCGTGTACTACCTGATACGGTAGTACCAGAAACTTCCCCTTCCCTCTGAAAAGTTACTTGAATTTACAGTCCTAAATAAATAAATGAGTAAATAACGAGCAGTTCTACCACATGTATACACTTAACAGTTTCCTCCTCTGAAAATGAAAGTAATAAGACCTGTTTCGAAAGATATGCTATGAGTAGCGCATTCATCCAAGAGTTCAAGATGAAATGTGCATCTATGGATGCATCAAACACACATTTTGACACATACAGAAACAGAGACCATCAGAAGACTTGATGCAAACCAATTGTATGCAGACGAATTATACGAGAGAAATTTAATATTGGATCCCAAGCCGAGGCCACAGGGCTTTATAGTCTAGACCCTCAGCCGCTAAAACACAAGGTTAGAAACCAAGTAAGGAGAGGCAAGAACCAAGATTGGCACAATGGCCGGCTGAGCTCTGAGACACAGTGATATCAGACCAACCTTTGAAATGCACCATTTAGACAAGGTTGTCGTGCACTCAGACCTCCAATGAGTCGTTATGGTCAAAGACTGAACTCCCAAGCTCTGGGACTAAACATGCAAGTGCTTCCGGAATTTGTTTTTCATTTTTTTCTCGCTGCATTATCTAACTTTCAAGATCGCTATAGTACTGGCCATTCCCTTGACATGCACACGACACTAGAAGGACAGAGAAACAACCTTTCGGTTTCTTTTCTCCATCTATAACGTGATTTATTCCCATCTCTCTCACCCAAGTCCTCTGGAAATTGTCAAAGCTCAGCTAAAGGCCACTTGGTCCATAACGTGTTCCCTAATCCTGGGAGCTGGAAGTGCCCTGTCGCTTGCTTGGGCATTTATAAGATTCAGTCTTGTGTCACTGGAGAAATGGGTGGCTTTCCACTCCCATAACGAGCTACAGAGTCCCAAACCTATGGGGGCAATATCAGCTCTGTCCCATAGCTTCACTAAGAGTCAGGATCTACTCAATGGCAGTGAGTCTGGTTTTTGAGGTTTCGGAAAAATCTTGAGTAAGCATCATTTAAGTATCTGTCTTTTGTCTCTTAAACATTTAGAAGTGTTTCACTGCCAAGGGCTTTTGACTGCTTTTTTCTTGTTTGCTTTAAAGTGGTTTAAGCACAGTAATCATGAAATATGTATTTGTTATTTGTTGAAAATTTGTATTGAAGAAATGAATGAATGAGAGAGTGAAAGAATAGGTAAGTAGAATTTATAATTTTGTAACCTATAGGCAAGTTTGGTTTTTATAATAAAGACAAAGCTACTTATAAATATGATGAGAGCTGGCAAGGGCAAAGGAGAGAGCTGGGGTCTCTGATTTGTGACCAGGTTTTATTGTGGCAACACCATTGTACGTTGATTCAAGTATAAGTTGAATACTTCATTTGAGATATATGTTTTTGGTTTTCATGTACAGTGAACCCTCGTTTATCGCGGTTAATCGGTTCTAGACCCTACCGTGATAAATGAAATTCCGTGAAGTAGGATTCCTTATTTGTAAATCAAATATTTTCGTAGTTAGAGCATAGAGGACATGAAAAAACACCCTTTAGTCACCATTACACTCATATTACCCAATTTAGTAAACAAAAAAGGGAAAATACAGTAAAACATTTTGGATGTTACAATGATCATTTATTATTTATTATATTATTTATGGCATCTAGTTTACAGTATTACATATTTCACATACAGTATTATTATACATAGTTCTTACAAATACTGTAATCAATAGCCTATGAAATGACTTAAGGGATGTACTCTACAGGTGGGTCGCCGTCTTTTTCCTCTGAAGGAGCGGGTGTAGGCAGTGGGTGCTGTTACGCAAAAACCGCGATAGAGTGAAGCCGCGGAAGTCGAAGCGCGAAGTGGCGAGGGTTCAGTGTATTACTGCCTTTTATTATCAATATTTTTATACAGTCAGTCTTTATTTTTCTTTGGGAGTTGGCATGATAACACCACCAAATTACACAATGAATGCAGTACATATTAATAACACCAAGATGCACAAAACAAAAAGAAAAAGAATTGAAAACAACAGACACTTGTAAATGCAATTTTTACTAACTTGATTATGCCTCAAATCAGGGACTGACTCTAATAGTAATAATAAAAATGAATGAGTGAACATTTACCAATACATTGTAGGAGTCAGGGGTCAAACACAGAGGTAGGATGGCAGCGGTGAGTGCACCATACACATATCTTTCTGATAGCGCTCAAAGTTCTATGTGAAGGACCTATATTTATGAAATTACTTCCCAAAGAGATCACCACAAGCCTGAGCGGCATAAAGAAAGAATTACCGCAGGTTATGAGAACACAAACAAAGGGACGGGATCTAATTGGGACGATGTCGGGAGACTTCCTTGAGGAAATCAATGTTCTGTTCAGATTTGAGTGGCGATAGCAGTTGATTGTGGCAGAGTAGGGGCGTAAGGGCAAGAGAATGAATAAGATGGCCATTTCTTAGCATTTCTACCCTGCAAGCAGATGTTTCTTAGGCTGTTTGGAGATGACAAGTGGTCTTACTAGGGCTAGCAAGTCACAGGTAATAATTTTGAGTGTTTGTTGAAAACACCATAGGCGGACAATAGGAAGCATGGCACAGAGAACACGATACAGGAGGAAAGAGTTAAAGCCAATGGGGGGAAATGAATGAATAATTAATAAACCCGAAGAAGTAGAGAAACAAACAAAAGGCCAAAGTAAGGAAATGATGAGTGCATTGTCCATCTTCACCCCAGATGTCTCACTAAATCTTATAAACCTTTCATCTACAAGCATGTTTTATTTAAAGTTAAACTTTTACATTTAGAATTTGAGAATGATTTTGACCAAAGGAAATCCTGGCTTGTCTTTCCAGGAGCGTCAGTACAACTATGTCTAGGCCTGGGCCACTGTCATGTGGTTGCCTAGCTACGTGGATGGAAAGGCTGCAGCAAAGTAAAGTAGGTTAGAGGGAGTCCAATGTGAAGTATCAAAATCCGTATCTCTACGCCCCTGGCTCTAGCTGGATTGCTATTGCAAAGAGGCTTCGAGTTGAACTTATGAAAATAAATTGGGTGGCGGAATGTTACTCTTTGCGAGATAAGAGCGGGAAGGTGGAGGTGTATGGATGGTCTTAAGGCCCATTTCTGCTGCTGAAATTCTTAAGAATTCAAAAAGCAAAGGGGAAAACTATGCAGAGAACTCTGAGACACTGCATGAACCATTCCACACCCGCAGTCAACCTTGGAGGATAAAGAAGTATTCTTGTTCTCTGAGCGCTTCACATCGAAAAAAATAAACACACTCCCCCAAAATAGCATACTTTCTGGACCTCATTAGGTGATTGGCTTAACCTTTCTACTTCTGTTGGCACAGCAATGGGGCACAACAGAGAGAAAGCTCTTCATTGGGTTTGGATTTGAAGGTGGGTAGAAGACATGAAGCCATTGAATGTTTGGAGGTACCGAGAGCAAAGATAGGAGAAAGTGGCTAAGAGAGATAAAGGTCACCTGCTTAGCAGGTTTTTCCCAGGCAGTGGTATTGAGACTCATGGATAAAATTGATTTAGCCTCGACTCCTACCTTTGTTTGACCCACAAGGGTGCAATAGTGACAGCAAACACACATACCCCAAATCTCTCTCTACACAATTAATCTCTGATTCTTTTCAATATTTAGGTTTCCTTTATTAAAACTTGAATACTTATGGGAGGAACTCATTAAATAATACCTTAAAGAGGATTTTTCTATCAGTCATCTTTAAGAACTGATTCGGAGAGCGGGAACAGAGGCTCCATGCAGCGGAGAAACACGGGCGTTGAGCGGAAGCAGAGGGACATTCATGTGGGAGGCTGGGGGAGGAAACTCCATACAACTTTACAAGTGAGGCTCGAGCAGATCCCTGGCTGTATAGAGCCTCTATTGGCTCCCAACAAATAGCTGCGGGCTGAGCACAATGTCACAGTATAAGCAAACACTTTATTCACAGAACGGTCCTTTGCATAAACTATGCAACAAAACCGTGCACATATTTTCAGGCATCTATTTAGAAAGAATTATGTCTTAGGCATACGAGTCTCGGTATTCATAGAACTTCACATCGTCAGATGTTTGGCCAGATGCAAGGGGAAAAAAGTGCCTATAAACTACATACAAAATAACAAAAAATATGCAAGACTTTCTCACTTCAAGCCTGATGACCTCATCCCCTGTTTTCATGGATGGGCTTTCATGACTGCATTTAGACCATCTGCTTAACAGTTTCCCCCCATTTCTAGCTAGACACCTAGTAAATGCCATTATGTAAAGGGCACTGGGCAAGAAAGCGTGGGTAGACCCTTGTGAATCTTTAACATAAGGGCTCAGCAAAGCAGAGGTCCGTTAAACCATCTTGATATATAAAGGAAAGAATATATTACTACCTGAGTAAATGGGTTTTCTTGGTGATAGTGACAAAATTAGAAGAACAAGTTTCCTATTGAGAATGATTCTCCAGAAAATGTTTTTTAATTAATTAGTTTATTTATTTTTAACAGCTTCATCGACGTGCCACTCACATCTCATACATTTTAATAATTCATTCCCATTTAAAATAGTCATACAACCATCACCACAGTCAATCCCAGGGCATTTCTTCTTCTTTGCACTTGCTGTTGTTAGCTCCCCAATTCCTGCCAACCTCCCCCGCTGTGTCCCTTGGAAACTCTTCATCCAGTTGTTATCTCTACAGGTTTTCTTATCCTGGATTTTATATACAGAAAAACATAAAAGTCAAAACATAACATAAACAAATGGCCCATCAACAATGACATAAGAAAACATAAAAATCTCAGTGGGAAACAAAGCTGAAAATATTAAAAACTGGAGGAGTTATACATTGGATCAAGAGGGAGATCAAAGGACAAAGTGTCCATTTGTAATTAACCACAAGTGCAGCAATCCACCATACAAGGTACTCTGTCTTAGGCATACGAGTCTCAGTATTCATAGGATACCTTCCCATCCCTGGACTGTAGTTGGAGGGGCCTCACCAAAGGCGTAATCCACATGGAGAACCTTGTCAGTGGCTTTTGGGCTTTCACTATCATTCATAGCCTTCTATAAACTGTGTGTTTGGAATTTAAGCTCGAAGACCTCCTCTGAGTTTGGATTTTATTATTTACAGTTCAGGCAGGGGTGCTTCTGCTGTGTGGATTTAGCTGACACCTCACATAGGTGGCTGCTTGTTTTAAGACAGCCCTTTAAGGCCCTGGCTACTATTCTTTCTGATAGCGAGGCACCATCTGCCTTCTTTGCCACTCTGCTACATAGCACTGGTACCTTCTTCCGTGACCACATCATGGGGCCAGGTATAGAGCCAGGCCATCTCCTAAGAACTAATTGTTCTGAGATTCTGGCTACAATTAAGTGGGAGCTCAAGATTCATTCATGTATCTATGGTTTATATACATCTCTGGTTCATTTTAAAGACATCATTATTATTTTGATAATATTCTACTAATATTACCATTCATTTAGTGAATGGTGTAGAATTGAAAACATTGTCCTGAAAACAAACCCAAAAAAAGCATGCATGTATAGGATAGTTTTAGACCAAAATGCATGGATTATTGATTTGTACAGATTAGCAGTTCAGGCAACTGGACACTATTTCTGCTAACGACGAGGGTTGGAGATAGGGCAAAACGTTCAATAATGTTCATTCACAAAAGGCAAAGAGAACATGAAAACGACACATAAATGGCAGTCTTGTGTCATTTATCGTGCACCCTCCAGGCAAGAGTTGTGAACAAAGTCCAGTGACTTGGGTAGCAGTGGGCTGATTCTTCTCACACTGGGGCATTTCAGTCTGAGACCTAGGGAAGTATGCCAAACTGTTTTTAATGTATTTGACTAAATTATAAGAATAGACAGATTGGTAACAGATTACTCGGACATTTAGAAAATCTGAAATGCAATGTTCACCAGGCCTGCTTCCCTCATTCAGCTTTACCAAAAGCCTGTATTTACTAGGGAAGCTCATTGGAAGGAATGGGGTGCAGTCTCTCTCAGTTTGTCATCTTTCAGACATTTTCTCTAGTTTCCTCTCCCTCTGACCCCGCCACATGTGCCAGAATCAGTTGGAAATTCATGTCATTGCTGCTCTTGGGATCGAACCCAGAGAAGGGTGACCACTTTTTTACGTCTGTCTCCTCTCACTAGCTGAGCACTTTGACGATCACGATCATGGATTATTCATCTTTGTATTCCCAGGATATAGTAGATCCTTGAGTAATGTTTCTTGAGTAAATTTGGTGTAAAATATGTGAACACTCATTAAAGTGTTTTGCTAGTCTTTCTTGTAATTTAAAAAAAAAATTTGAACTGTTGGTTTAGCAGAAAGCATTGCATTGCCCTGGGCAAGCGGGTACATGGCTATTTACCAGGGAGATGTATACATAATTGCATGTGATGCATTTTCATGATTGGAATTCATTTGGTTAGTTTGAATTGGATGAAAGATATCCAATCCACCGTGTTATGTATTTCGTTGGTGGTAAGAAATGAGTTTTCTCTTACTACCTTGCTGAGAACAATTTCTGCATCAGTTGAACTACTGGAATCTTTCACTTTTGCAAACAATAGTTTAGGAGAAAACAATCAACCAAACCACCCTCCCTCACCATTGAGTGGGTCCTGACGCACATGATGCTGTAAGACAGGGTATAACTGCCCAGCGTGTAACTTATGCCACAAGGACTCCTTAGGGCTAAAGAATAGGACCCTTAAAATACTCATCGAATACAACCCCACAGTTTCATCATCCATCAGACTACACACATGCTTTGTTCTAATGGAAAGGAAAGACAGGCTCTAAGAAAAGCACTCACAACCCAGTCCAGGGAGCCTAGGGGCAGACCCACCAGAGTGGGGGGTCCCAGGGGCGTAGATGGCTGTGTTTGGGCCCAGAATTGAGGTCTTTCTTACCAGCAACAGTCAATACTGTGATTGTAGGGGGATAATTCAGACATCCCGAGTGTTTGAGTCTAATTCTTCAAATGGGCTGTTTGTATCTACACAACCGATGGTAACGTGCAGTAAAAATTGAGCTTTTTTTTTTTTAAATTGAGCATTTTTTAAAGAGACGTTTATTAAGTCTTAAATGGGACAAGGACAAGACAAACGCAGAGACATCAGATGAGAGAGATGATTAGCAAGAGGTCATAATGGTGTCCAAGGAGTAGGCAATATACAGAATTTTAAAGGGGGTCAAAGGAAACTGTCACAAATACATAGTTGGTTGCAGATCAACACATTATAGTTACAAGTGAGATTGCTGAAGCAGGAATGGGCCCATGATTGGGACATGTACATTATGTTAGATAGAATAATCTACAAGATTTGTCCAGGGGCCTCCCCTTCAGACAGTCAGGGCATGACTCATGACTGTGTGATCCCCAGGACACTGATCTCCATCAAGGACACTCAGGCTAGCTTCTGGGCGGCTGGGGGTGGGGGGTGGGGGTGGGGGTAGTAGAGATAATCCACCTTCCAGTGGAATTTTTTGACAATGTGTTAGTGCATCAAAGAAATTCAACCTTCTATGAATGAGTTCAATCTGACTTTGGATTTTAGAAGTTAAACAAATCTTCCAAGGGCTCAGATAAAGCTGGGGAGCAGGAGTCAGGAAAGCTTATTTCGAGATTTGTCCTGCATAAATTCATCACAATTTTCAGTATTTCTACCTTCACCAAAATGAGATCCTGGACATGAGAGAAACACACAAGAGCAAAGATAAGAAAGTGCTTCTCCGACCCGTTGGGAAGCGCACCTCGTAGTATTCTCGGGGCTTGTGGTTTCTAGGATGTCAGACTTCCGGCAGGCCTGTAGCTTGTTCTAGCCATCCAGATAAAGATGGGTTTGGAAGCAGTTCAAAGAACAGTCACTCAGATGATTAAACGCTCCAGAGATGGTTGTTATTAAAGATAGTTAAAGGAATTGTAATTATTTATCCCATTGAAAGTGGCTGTTGTTGTTATTGCTGTAATAACAGTTGAGAGTTAGAGCAGTCATTCTCAAAATTTGTCCCAGGACCAATCCAAGCAGAATCCCTTGGGAATCTGTTAGAAACGCACATCCTCAGGCTCCACCCCAGAAATGCCAGGGGTGGGCATTAGAACCGTATGTTTTCTAGCAAGTCTTGCATGTCGTTATGTTGCTCACTCCACTTTGAAAAGCGCCCTGGTTTAGAGAACAGGAGCACTGGCCACAGTGCAATTGTGAAAGTGCATGGTATAAACCAATGGCATAGAAAATAGGGGTGGGTGGATCCTTAGAGGTTGAATTTGTCGTCCATCAAAGATACCAGATAGTAACAGAGGAAAGTGAGGAAGTAATTTGCAGGAAATGACGCATCACCCAGGAGGTCACCACGGTCCTCCCTTCCTCCCACCTTCTCACGCTCTTTCTTCCTCTCATTTCTCTCAAGGAGCACGCAGAACCCAGTGACTGCTTTCTCCGTGTGGTGACATGCTCATAGCTTAGTTTTGCTCAAATCTGAAGTCTTGAGAAAACACTCCAGTGTGAGCAATAAAGTCCCTGGCACGCCTGTAACTTAAGCAGCGACAGCTTTTACCAGCTCATAACTTGTGAAAAGAATCATGACTTTCTAAACATTAAAGAAAAGGAAGACAGAAAGAATACAGGGCAGAAAGAATGGACAGAAGAAAGGAGGGTTGAAAGAGAATGGAGTACAGAGAGCTAATGACCACATTGCTACACAAGAAGAGGGAGAGATAAATAAAAGAGGACTTTCACTATTTCTGAATAACATTCCCTTCTAATAGCATAATACACTGGAGCCTTGCTAAGAATTCTGTCCTCTGGGGCCAGGTTGTGGGATTGCTTAATCATGAATTTCAAATAATTTTAACAATTTGAATTGCGTTGGTGTGACATCTTTGTAACTAAACCTCTTGACTAGATCTAGAACATACCTCTTCTTTCTTAATAGAGAAATTTTAGTTGAGGATCCAGGTATAAATGCATCACAAAAAATCTTACTCTGTTACATGTACTATGTAAATAAAGGATATATGGGGCATATTAGTAACCTTACATACGATGGACAAAGCACTGTCCGCTTCCTTTAACCTGAATCTTCTCTATTTCTATCAATCCAAAGAGAGAGCAAGAAGATGTATGCAGTAGTTGTTTCAATTCTTCACATATGAACTGTCCTTTATATTTATTACCTAAAGCAAAATGTTGACCCAAGATCAACTTATCCTTGGAATTCATCATTTATCTGGGTGCTAGTTTCTTAATATTAGTAGTTGTCCAGAGATTAATGGAACTATGAGACCAACCCAACAAATCACAATAGCTCAGTCCCTTGGTAGGAATTACAGAGTGATCCTTTGAGGGGAAGACATTGGTATCCTCACTTCAGTCACTTGTCAAAGCTTTTGGTGGATTTTTTTTCAGTCAATTTGAATCAAATATTTGAATGAGATGACTCTGAAAATAAGATCTAATATAGCAGATTTATTTTCTCACAGTTTAGCAGGCTAGAAGTATGAACTCAGGGTGCTCACCCCAGGGAAGTCTTCATCCCTCTGTTGGCTGTGGGGACGTCCCAGTCGTGGTCTCTTTTCAGCGTAGGATCCTTAGCTCTTGGGTGATCTTCATGTGCCATGACTCTATCTGCCCCACCTCGATGTGCTTGCTTGCTTTGTCTACTTTTTTATATCTCAAAAGAG